TGGTGTAACATTTATATTCCCCCAACTCTGCTTGCTTAACTGTCTTTGTTGCTTACTCAATCTCTTTATGTTGCAAAAGTGCCTCATTAACATAACAATGAAACACATTCTCCTATGGGATTATAACCATAGTTGTAAGAGTTAGGATTTACAACACATATTTTTGCAGCACACAATTCAATCTATAACATCTGCCATAAATGTCATCAGATTTCTGTGAGCTTCAAGTGAGATAATGAAGATGAAAGCATTGAAAATTTCAAAGGTCAGTGTCCAATATGGTAGCCACTAGCCATATATGGCCATTTAAATTTAAATTAGTTAGAATTAAATAAAATGAAAAAATCACATCCTTAGTCACACTTGTTGTTGTTATGTGCCGTCCAGTCAGACCCAACTCATAGCGACCCCTCCTTGGGTTTCTGAGGCAGTATCACTATGGAAGTAGATTGCCCAATCTTCCTTCCGAGGAGTGGCTGGTGGGTTTGAACAGCCAGCCTTCTGGTTAGCATACTAGCCACATCTTAAATGCTCAGTTGTCACATCTGACTAGTGGCTAACATATTGAACAAGAAAAATATAGAACACTTGCATTTTCCAGAAAGTTCTATCAGGCAGTTCTGTGCCACAAAGTGCTATTTGTTGCTGTTCTTGTTAGGTGCTGTGAAGATGGCTCCAACTCACAGCGACCCTATGCACAACAGAATGAAACACTGTCCAGTCCTGCACCAGCCTCACAATCCTTGCTATACCTGAGCCCATCATTGCAGCCACTGTGTCAGTCCATCTCTTGAGGGCCATCCCCTTTTTCACTGACTCTCCACTTTACCGAGCATAATAGCCTTCTCCCAGGGAATGGTCCCCTCTGACACATAACAAAAGTAGATGAGATGAATCTGTCCATTCTCGCTTCCAAGGAGCATTCTGGCTGCACTTCTTTCAGGACAGATTTGTTTGTTCTTGTTCTCTGGCAGACCATAGTACTTTCAGTATTCTTCACCAACACCACAACTCAACCATCAACCCTTCTTCTTCCTTATTCATTGTCCAGCTTTCACATGCATATAAGGAGTTTGAAAACACCATGGCTTAGGTTAGGCACACCTTAGTGTTTAAGGAGACATCTTTGCTCTTCAGCACTTTAAAGAGATCTTTTGCAGCGGGTTTGCTAAGTGCAATACATCATCTGATTTCTTGACTGCTATTTCCATTGATGTTGTTTGTTGAACCAAGTAATGTGAAATCTTTGATGATTTCAATCTTTTCTCCGTTTATCATGATGCTTCTTATTGGTCCAGTTGTGAGGATTTTTATTTTCTTTATATTGAGGTGTAATCTATACTGCAGACTGTGGTCTTTAATCTTCATCAATAAATATTTCAAGTTATCTTCACTTTCAGCAAGCAAGGTTGTGTTATCTGCATATCACAGATTGTTAATGAGCCTTCCTCCAATGCTGATGCTGCATTCTTCTTCATATAGTCCTACTTCTTGGATTATTTGTTCAACATACAAATTGAATAAATATGGTGAAAGAATATAACTTGACGTACTCTCTTCCTGATTTTAAACCATGCAATATCCTCCTTTTCTGTTTGAACAGCAGCCTCCTGGTCTATGTGCAGGTTCCTCATGAGGACAATTCGCTGCTCTGGAATTCCCATTCTTCTCAATGTTATCTATCATTTATTATGATCTGTGTAATTGCATGCTTTTGCATAATCAATAAAATACAAGTAAACATTTTTCTGGTATTCTTTGCTTTCAGCCAAGATCCATCTGACACCAACAATGATATCCTTCATTCCACATTCTCTTCTGAATCCAGCTTGCATTTCTGGAAGTTCCCTGTCAATATACTGCTGCAACTATTTTAAAATTATCTTCAGCAAGATTTTACTTGTGTGTGATATTAATGATATTGTTCTATAATTTCCATATTCTGTAGGATCACATCTTTCTTTGGAATGGGTACAAATATGGATCTTTTCCAGTCAGTTGGCCAGGTAGCTGTCTTCCATATTTCTTGGCATAGACAAGTAAGTGCCTCCAGTGTGGCATCCATTTGTTGAAACATCTCAGTGGATATTGCATCAATTCCTAGAGCCTTGTTTTTTGCCAATTCCTTCAGTGCAGCTTTGACATCTTCCTTCAACACCATTGGTACTTGACCATATGCCACCTCCTGAAATGGATGAACATCAACCAATTCTTTTTGGTACAGTGACTCTGTATATTCCTTCCATCTTCTTTTGATGTTTCCTACATCACTCAATATTTTGCCCATAGAATATTTCAGTATTGGAACTTGAGGCTTGAATTTTTCCTCAGTTCTTTCAGCTTGAGAAATGAGAAGCATATTCTTCTCTTTTGGTTTTCTAATTCCAGGTCTTTGTACATTTCATTATAATAATCGATTTGTCTTCTTGAGCTCCTCTTTGAAATCTTCTGTTCAGCTCTTTTGTCTTGTCATTTTTTCCATTTGCTTTATATACTCTCTATTCAAAAACAAGTTTCAGAGTCTCTTCTGACATCCATATTGGTCTTTTCTTCCTTTCCTATCTTTTTAATGACCTTTTGCTTTCTGTCTGTATGATGTTCTTGATGTCATCCCACAATTCCTCTGTTTTTTGGTCTTTGGTGTTTAAAGCATCAAATCTATTCTTTAGATGGTCTCTAAGTTCAGGAGGGATATAATGAAGGTCATATATTGGCTCTCATGGACTTCTTTTAATTGTCTTCAGCTTCAACTTGAACTTGCATATGAGCAATTGATGGTCTGTTCCACAGTCAGCTTCTGGCCTTGTTTTGGCTGAAGATATTGAACTTCTCTATCACCTTTTTCCACAGATGTAGTCCATCTGGTGAGGCCCACATGTATAGCTGCTGTTTATGTTGTTGAAAAAAGGTATTTGCAATGAATAGGATATTACTCTTGCAAAATTCTACCATGGGAATCTCCAGCTTCATTTATATCACCAAGGCTATATTTTTCAACTACCAATGATTCTTCTTTGTTTCCAACTTTTGCATCCCAGTCACCAGTATTTATCACAACACATCTTGATTGCCTGTTTGGTCAATTTCAATCTGCAGAAGTAGGTAAAAATCTTCTACTTCCTCGTCTTCAGCTTTGGTGGTTAGTGCGTAAATTTGAATAATAGTAATATTAACTGGTCTTCCTTGTAGACATATGGATATTATCCTATCACTGACAGCGTTGTACTTCAAGATAGATGTTGAAACATCCTTTGTGATGATGAATGCCATGCCATTGCTCTTCAAATTGTCATTCCCTGCATAGTAGACTGTATGGTTGTCTGATTCAAAATGGCTAAAACCAGTCCATTGCAGCTCACTAATGCCTATGATATTAATCTTTATGCATTCCATGTCATTTTTGACAGCTTCCAATATCCCCAGGTTCATACTTTGTACATTCCATGTTCTGTTTATTAATGGATGTTTTCAGCTGTTTCTCCCCATTTTGAATTATGTCACTTCAGCAAATGGAGGTCCTGAATGCTTTACTCCATCCACATCATTAAGGTTGACTCTACTTTGAGGAAGCAGGTCTTCCCCAGTCATATTTTGAGTAGCTTCATACCTGAGGGGTTCATCTTCCAGCACTATATCAAACAATGTTTCAGGGCTATTCATAAAGTTTTCCAGTAATATATCAGACAATATTTCACTGCTATTCATAAGGTTCTCTTTGGCCAAATCTTTGAGAAGTGGATGGCCCCTAACTTCTTCCAAGTCTGTCTTAGTCTGGAAGCTCTGCTGAAACCTGTCCACCATGGGCAACCCTGCTGGTATTTGAAACACTGGTGGCATAGCCTCCAGCCTCACAGCAGCATGCAAGGCACCACAGTAGGACAAATTAACAAATGAGTGGTGGAAAGTGCTATTAAGGATGTGATATTAAAAATATAAAGGATGGCACATTGTAGGAGTGACAAATGCTGTCATAGTTATGAATCCTTGGAAAGACATATAACCCACTCAGTTAGCTGAAGTAAAACAAAAGACTTATTTGACTAGTTTAAAAAAACTTGCAGATCCCAAGGATAGACTTCAAGAAGAACTTGAAGCAGTTTCTAGAACCATTCTCCCCTTCTCACTCTCTTTTTCTCTCCCTGTGGCCACTTTGGCTTTTATGTTTTTCTCTGTGTTGGCAGCTTCTTCCTCTTTGTTTCCTCCTCCTCTCCCTTCTCCTCCTTTCTTTTCTTCCCCTGGCTGCAGTTTTCTCAGCTCCACTATACATGGCCCAAACATAGCTTAACCAGGCCCAATTTCTATTACTTCTCAGTAATAATGCCCCAAAAGACTGGATCCTGATTTTAAATTCCTTGGAGAGATCTTCTTTTTAGCCAGCTTGATGTGATAGCCACCCCTGCTCCAATCATCCATATCCAGGAAGGTGGAGGTAGTCACCCTACACAGATTCAAGAGAGGTAGTGGTGATGGTGGTGGGAGCAGGGGGAGAAGATGCTCTAAAAAGGAGTGTAGGTGAGATAGGAATAGGTCATTGACTGACATGCTTATCTCTAGCACCACAGAGCAGGCCAGTGAGTCTAAGATCACATGGGGAAGAGCAAGCAGAGATTTTAAAAAGATCATGAAAAAAAAAAAAAAAGAGTAGATATCTTTCCTTGTCTGAATACTTTAATGGTTTGCATTACTAGTACAGAGTAGCTTGTGGAAGTAGGCAGCCAGAAACACGGATGGAACACAGGTCTGAGCCTTTATCATTTTTAAAATGCAAACTATGAACTCACAAGTTCCCTTTTCTTTTCAATCTTTAGGAAGGAACATGAAGTTCCCTTGGAAATCATTGAAGAGAAAGATGGAAGGGAATGTTTAGAAGAAGTTAGAAGCTGTAAGCCGCAAGACTGGGGCCTGAGGGCTGGCAGTGGAAAACTCTGTTGGGCTGTGATCTCTCACTGAAAAGTTCCAAGTGCCTTTTTGCTTCCTGCAAAAGAAGGGAAGAGAAGACCATGTCCATAGCCCTGAAGCAGGTGTTCAACAAGGACAAGACCTTTAGGCCTAAGAGGAAATTTGAACCTGGCACACAGAGGTTTGAGCTCCACAAACGGGCTCAGGCGTCCCTCAACTCAGGCGTGGACCTAAAGGCAGCAGTACAGCTGCCCAGTGGGGAAGATCAGAATGACTGGGTGGCTGTACATGTAGTGGACTTCTTCAATCGGATCAACCTCATCTACGGCACCATCTGTGAGTTCTGCACTGAGCGGACCTGCCCTGTGATGTCAGGAGGGCCTAAATATGAGTATCGGTGGCAGGATGACCTCAAGTATAAGAAGCCAACTGCACTGCCAGCTCCCCAGTACATGAACCTTCTTATGGATTGGATTGAGGTCCAGATCAACAATGAGGACATATTTCCAACATGTGTGGGTAAGTCTATGACCAGAATCTCAGTTGTTTTTTCACACCTCACCAGAACTCAGAAAGTTTGCAAAGGCTTCTTCCAGGATGGCCCTTGAATGCTGGATAGCACCCACTGCACTATTTCCCTAAATTCTGTCACTCCCATATGTTCAGTGTCTCTCCATAGCTAAGTACCACACTGAATTGAAAAATGATCACCTGTGACCCACTTAACATTGTAGACTCCAGTGATATACACACCACACTCTGGGGAACACTTGATGAAATGTTAAGTTTGATCTGATTAGCTTTCTTAGGACTAGACTCCACTCTCTCACAGTTATGCTGGTAAGACTTTTATTGTTTGGCTAAAAGTGTTGTTTGTTAGGTGCTGTGGGATCAGTTCTGACTCATAACAACCTTACGTGACAGAGTAGAACTGCCCCATAGGGTTTTCTAAGCTATAATCTTTACAGGAACAGATTGCCTGGTCTTTCTTTAGTGGAGCTGCTGGTTAGGTTATCACTCCACACTTAGCAGCTGAGCACATAATTGTTGCACCACCAGGGCACCTTCTTTACTGGTTAGGTTGACTCTGGTACAGTTATTGGTAGTCATCACTTTTGATTCAGAACTGCTAAGAATTTATGGATTTGTATGGTGGTCAAATGAACAGGGAGTTGGCATTCTGGGAAAATAAAAACCTTGGCATTCTAGTCTTCCCTCTCCTAATCATAGGTTATTAATTCCTGGCTGTACTGTTAATTCTGGACCATCACATAGCTGCTGGCTCCACTGCGGCTCTTGAAAGGTAATGCAAATGAGTCTGTTTACTTTGTGCATAAACTGTAAAATTCTTCAAGGCAAAGACCAAACCTTTTGTACCTTTCATATTTCATTATGGTGTTGATCATTGGATTTCTTACTCACTGACTAGCTGGATTTGGAATTCAGTTTTTGGTTCTTTAGTCTCAATAGAAGTCATTGGGTGGTGCAAAATGGTTAATATGCTTGGCTGCTAACCAAAAGGTTGGAAGGTCAAGTTCATCAAGAGGTGCCTCAGAAGAATGGCCGTTGATCTACACCCTCTCCTCACCTACCAACATTGTTAAGTTCTAAAGACCAGGTTATTATGTGAAATTAATATTATGTGAAAATGGAGGATGATTATCTCAGATCACAAAATGGAAGATGATGACATCTTTATATAATTGCCAGATTATATCATTATATGACTGCAAATCACTGAGAATCAAGGCCCAGCCAGCATCACTCTTGCCTCACACTTCAGCATTCATTACTGCTAGAAGTACATCATTAATAAGCAAAATAGTCAGAGAGTAGATTTCTTACTATTGTTGTAAATGTGAAATTTTGGATAATCAGATAGTCAATAAGTGAGGAGAAAGTATACTTTTAAAACATCAACCATTGAAAACTCTATAGAGCATAGTTCTACTCTGATGCACATGGGGTCACCATGAATTAGAATCAACTTAATGGTAATTGGTACTGGTAGGCTCAATAGGGGCAAGCAGTCTTCTACTTTCACTGTTGTATCTCTAGTGCCTAACACAGTGGCCTGGAGCATGCATAGGTACTCGGGAGATATTTGTGGAATGATTGAATAAGTACTCATGCTGTTGGAAAATATTATTAAAAGCTCCAGGATGGTTGGGGTACAAAAATGTATTTAAAACATACTGCTAAAATCACCTTTAGATGGAGTGTGTGTCCCTCCATGTGGCACGTGTAAAGTTGAAATAGAGCATATGGAAGTAATTAAGTTGATGCCGGAAAAAAGAACATAAAGTGATTGGGGCAATATGTACATCTTGAAATATTCAGCACGCAAACCAATTTGCTCAAAATCCTTGTGTTGCCTTGACTTTTCTATTTCCTTCCTGCTCTTTCTGTCTCTTCTGTTCCTTTTTAACAGGAAGGAGGTGGGGTCTGTGCTAGTACAAACCTAACCTCTTGGTTCACTTGTATAGAAGGAAGATGGCAGGTTACAAAAGTTCCCATAATCATATATTAGGCACCTTAGGGGGTGGGAATTTTTTAGGTTTATGTCCTTTTGCACTTTCACTGACTGTCAGAGGCTTCTTTTAGAGCTGAAAGGAATATTTCTTATCCAGAAACAATACAAGCAACTGCCAAAACTCTGCAAAATTTATGGCAGCAATGTTGTTGTTGTTATTGTTAGGTGCTGTCAAGTTGGCTCTGACGCATAGCAACCCTATGTACAGCAGAACAAAATGTTGCCTGATCCTGCATCATCCTCACAATTGTTGCTTTATTTGAGCCCATTGTTGCAGCCACTATGTCAGTCTATATCACTGAAATTCTTCCTCTTTTTTGCTGAGCCTCTACTTTACCAAAAATGATGTTCTTTTCCAGAGACTGGTCTCTCCTGGTAACATGCTTAAGGAGCATTCTGGCTGTACTTCTGTCAAGACAGATTTGTTCATTTTTCTGGCAGTCCAAAGTATATTCAATATTCTTCACCATCACCACAACTCAAGTGCATCAATTCCTCTTCAGTCTTTCTTATTCATTGTCCAGCTTTCTCATGCATATGAGCTGGTTGAAAATACCATGGCTTGTGCCAGGTGCACCTTAGTCCTCAACATGACATCTTTGTTTTCTAACACTTTACAGAGGTCTTTTGCAGAAGGTTTGCCCAATACAACACATCATTTTTTGATATCTTGAGTGCTGTTTCCATGGGCATTGATTGTGTGGATCCAAGTAAGATGAAATTCTTGAGAACTTCAATCTTTTCTCCACTTATCATGGACTATTGGTCCAATTGTGATGATTTTTTCTTTCTTTATCTTAAAGTGTGATCCATATTGAAGACTATATAGTCTTTAATCTTCATCAGTCAGTCCTTCAAATCCTCTTCACTTTCAATAAGCAAAGTTGTGTCATCCACATAACACATGTTGTTAATGGGCCTTCCACTCCTAAAGCTGTTCTTCTTTATATGGACCATTCTTTCAGATTGCTTGCTCAGCATACTAACTGAGTAAGTACGGTGATAGGATAGAACTCTGACACACAACTTCCCTAAATTTAAACCAAAAACCATACAGTATCTCTTTTTTTTGTTTGAATGACTGTCTCTTGGTCTCTATACAGGTTCTGCAAAAGCACAATGCAATGTTCCAGAATTCTCATTCTTTGCAATGTTATATATAATTTGTTTGATCCACACAATTGAATGCCTTTTCATAATCAGTACAACACAGGTAAACATCTTTGTGTTTTCAGCCAATATCCATCTGACATCAGCAATGATATCCTTTGTTCTATATCTTCTTCTGAATCCTGCTTGAATTCTGGCAGCTCCCTGTGGATGTACTGCTGCAACCATCTTTGAATTGTCTTCATAATTATACTTGCATGTGATATTAATGATATTGTTTGATAATTTCCACATTCCACTGGATTACCTTTCTTTGGAACAGGTATGTATATGTATATATATCTCTTCCCTTACCTACTGTAAGAGTTGTCTTCCAAAGAAAGATAAATCAATGTGGGCAACAATACCTCCTCTTCATTGTTCCCCATCTCTTTCTGCTTCTTGATGCTTTGAACCCTGGGCACTTCTGCTCTTTCTGGCAGCTGGGGTTACTTCATGGAGGAGATGACCAAAAATAATGTTATAGAACTATGGCATATTTCTTGAGGGATAAGAAGTTCCTGGCAGTCTGCTTGGAAAACAGGACACCATAGGTGGTTTTAGATTTTGCTTGGAGGTTATCGGTAGATACCTCTATACCTCCCAGAGAAATTGACTTTGTTTTCTTTTCTAAACATTTCCTTAGCCATTAAGCATGCTTGGGGAGCAAGCTTCCCTGATCAGAATCCTCTTGCGAGTCTATGCTCCATACTACAGACCATTGTTCTGAGGTCTTTTAATTGATTTAGCATGAATTTTCTCCTCTATAGTCAAATAAGTTTGAGAAATGTTGGTTGAAATTGATTTCTTTACTGAAGGACTTTTAATATTTTGATGTGCATTATGAATCTACAAGACAGGAATACTTTAGTTTTTCTAATTTGACCTTAGAACCTTTTGTAATGGGACATTATGAGTGTCTTATGGGAAATGTTAAGGTGTGTAAGTTAGGCTTGTCAAACTTTAGTTTATACCAGAATTCCTTTGGGCTTCTGCTCAAATTGCAAATTCCTGTGTTTTCCCCCTTACCCACCAAATTAAAATTTCTTAGGAAAGACCTAAGGATCTTCACTTTTAGCAAGCATGCCCAATTTATAAACATTGATATAAGCCATTCACAATTAGCTTTCTCCAGTCTTACTGCCCACCCTCCCCTTGTTATTGTAATCAACCAGAACACATTTCATTCCTCCAGAAACAACCTTTTCTAGTGAATTCTCTTGCATTCTTTAAGGTCCACCTCAGATATCATGTCCTCTGTGAAGGACAATTTGGATGTAAAATTTCCTTAAAGTTATAGAATATGTCTTATTCATTTGAATACCCCAGCACTAAGGCCAGTCCTGGTGTCTTATAAGTGGTTGGATGGATGGATAGATGGATGGATGGATGGATGGAAAAATTAACAGCAATCTTTATAAAGACCCAACATGTGCATGGAGTTGGTGAACACAGCATAGTTAAACAAACATGTCCAAATCTCTTTGTCAACATTCCTGGGGATTTCTTGTATATTGCCTCCACAAAGTTTAGTTTTCTCTGTCTTACTTTTCCAAGGTGAAATATTGGGGATCAGTCAAAACCTCTACTATCACTGTGAGCATTCATCACCATCTTCCACACCTGTTATTTGCCATCAAATGTTATGGTAGCTGTCCTTTCAAATAATCTATCTTTAGGAGCCACTGTCTCTGGTAAAATTTGTTTCCTCCTCTTCTTTCTCCCCCTGATTCCAACCTACTTTTCTTCTTTTTGATCTTTGTGCTGTCATGAGTCATTATCATGGAAATAATCAAGATGTCTGTCAAGATAAAGTAAAAGAGGAATTCTCTGCAAA